AGAGAGAGAGAGAGAGAGAGAGAGAGAGAGAGAGAGAGAGAGAGAGAGAGAGGGAGAAAGGATGAAGCGAGGGAGACAGAGACAGAGGCAAACTTCCTCCCTTTTTTTCCTTTTTTTGTTTTTTTGTTATTCAAGACATGCGCGCCATAGCTACACGGCGCACACTTGTCTCGGCTCGTGCCACTGGCGATGGCAGAGTCTTGACCGCACTCTCCCTCTGCCACACACCTACACGCACACACACACAGACTCTTGTCCGCACACTCTTTGTCACAACCCCGCACGCACACACACACACGGACTCTTGCTCTCTCTCTCCTTCTGACACACACGTACACACACAGACAGACAGGCAAACTTCGTCCCATCTGTATGTGTGTGTGTGTGTGTGTGAGAGAGAGGGAGCGAGAGAGAGAGAGAGAGACATAAAGAGGGCATCGCCACACCACAACCGAAATGTATAAAATGAGAATGAACTTCCTACTAGAACATGGGCAGATTCGCCCGCCATGTTTTCTCACATTTCGACTATGGTGCGGCGATGCCCATGAACCACCCGCACCGTGGACCGAGCGCGAAACACTGGTGTGCCTGCATCTGGGCGTGTTCTAGCGAAAAGTTCGTTCCGACCCAAAAAATTTGCAATTTTTCTTTTTTTTCGGACCGATGCAAAACAAATGCAAATTCATGGGGAAAAAAAACGGAAACGTCGGAAAGTCTTTTTTTTACTACATTTTTTTTTTTTTTAAGAATACGAAAAAAAAAAAAAAAAAAGGGGGCAGGACACAACCCCACACGAAAATGCTATCCGACGGCGGGCGCGTCGAGATATTCATCCGCATCGACGCCTGCCGTGCACCCGGTACCGTGGGCGCGCTCTCTCGTTTAGTGGCGCGCTGTGAACAATTCGGTACGTGGGCCACTCTGCACGCCCACTCCCACCTGCCCTCGATCGCCTTCATCCGCCGGCCCGCACCAAAACCCTATTCTGGCGTGCAGCAGACCATCGACCTCCACTAGTACCTTTCCCGCGTGGGAAAATAGGGAAAACTGGCTGCTTTCCCAATCGCCTGAATTTCCGGAGGTCGGGCCCGGCGATGACTGCCATTGATAAATCTGATCGGCCGCCGTCATTTCGTTTCGGCCTCCGAAAAGGTCGGATGCCTACCCGAGGCCCGCTATTTTCCAAGCGGCAAAGATAGTAGTGGGTAGGATGAAATACCCCAAGTGACGGTTTGACCCCTATTTTTGCAATATACCTCAACCAGTACCGTAAAATTTTGCAAAATGCCCCAGTACATGGCAGCTTTTCCTAGGCGCAATCGCAAAAGCCCAGTCCGAAATGGGGAGGTCCAGACTGCACACTTGTACGCCCGCCTGACAGGGGGGCATAAGACAAAGATTTTGACTCAAAAGGGCATCCCACACTCTACCCACATTTTCCAGCGGGAATTTTTTTTTTTTTTTTTTTTTTTTTTTTTGAAAACAATGCCTTTATAGTAATTTTATACCAAATTTAATCAGTTGAGGCCGGGGACCTCACAATTCAACCCGGAGTTATCCTGGCAGCATCAGCCAGTTTAGCTTACAGTCTAGGACTGCGGCCCTACAATTCCTACTGTTCTCAAATTCTCAGACTTAAGACTTTATAGCACGACCTTACCTTTCCCAAGCTTTTCTGTCCGTCTCAGATATCCAGCCAACTTCCTTTTAATTTTAACTGCCTATTACTTCGTCCAGACTGCCATTCTACGTCCTCTGTTTCAGTCAAATGCAAAACCATTCTACATCTCTGTTCCTACTGTAACTATGGTACAGAGGCCTACCCGGCCTCATACCAGCCTATATCGGCTGGTCGGAACCTAGGTTCCTAGTAACAGCGGCAATTTTGGCAAGCATCTCAACTTACGGAGGTATTTTGCAAATTCTCTCTTTTTATTTTCTGTTTTGCCGTTTCAATTCATTGCGGCCGTCATTTTGCGAAGGCGGTCTGCTGTAGTGGAAGCAGAGGCTTCGAATTCGAAGCTCCACCTCCCCTGTTCGGCCGCCGCTCTCCCCCACTTCGAGCTTTCGAGTGGGCTTGCACTACGGCCATCGCCTGTGACAAGGGAGGGAGACGCAGGGCAACGACGTGGGCACAGCAGCCAGCGCACGGGGCATTAGCCGGACCTCGCGAGGGGAGCGTGAGGAGCAGCACGAGGAGCAGCGGGAGGGGCAGCGTCAAGCAGGTCGGTTTCTCTCTCTTTCTCACACACACACACACTTCCTACTCCTCTCTCTCTCTCTCTCACACACACACACACGCTTCCTACTCCTCTTCCTCCTCTTTTCGTCCTCATGGTCTTGATCCTTCTACTCCTCTTCGCCCTCCTCCTCCTCCTCCGCCTCCTCCTCCCTTCTGCACGTCTTCTTCCTCCTCGTCTTCCTCCTCCACATACTCCAACTCATCTTGATCCTCCTCCTCCTCATCTTCGTGGGCGTCCTAACCCTCCCCGCACGCGCCTTTTTTTTTTTTGTTTGTCGGATCAAACTGCTTGTTATCGTGCCCGAAGATGGAAACGTGTCTCCTTCTTCGTGGTCGTCCTCCTCCTCACTGTCTACATCCTCCTCCTCCTCCTCATCGTCTTGATCCTCCTCCTCCTCCTCCTCCTCCTCCTCCTCCTCCTCATCGTCTTGATGCTCCTCCTCCTCCTCATTGTCTTGATCCTCCTTTCTCCTCTACTTGCTCTCCCTCGCCGCCCGCGCACACCATGTGGCGCTATTTTCATCTTTTTTTGTTTTTGTTTCAAAGATCCTTCCTCTGGTTCACCTACGGAAACCTTGTTACGACTTCTCCATCCTCTAAATGATAAGGTTCCTTGAACTTCTCATAGCACCCCCAGCGGCAAACCGCCAAGACCACCGGGATCCAGACAACTTCATCGGACCATGCAAGTTCAATAGGTAGGAGCGACGGGCGCCTCCACACGGCGTGCTGTTCCCACTTTTTTGTTTTTTTTCTTGCTTCGTTTCGTAATCCTCTTTTTTCCCCCTCCTACTCGTCATATTTACCCCTCCTGCGTCTCCGGCCACTACTCGTCTTCAACTCCCTCTTGCTCGTCTCTCTCTCTCTCTCTCCTCTCTCCCTCTCGACTTTACAGCTCGTCTCTCGTTCGTCTTCCTCTCTTTTCTCTCTCGCTATTTCTCTCCTCTATCTCTGTTGTCTATACCTTGTTTGTGTGCCGAAAGGTCTCTCTCGAACTTTGTTGGTATGCGTCGTTTGCATTTCCCGTGGATTAGATTATCTATGATCTCGTTTTTTTTCTTTTCCCTTTCTTTTCTTTTTTTTTAAAAGCAGCTAAGGTTCCCCCGTCGAATACTTCTGACAATCTGGGTGGTCCAGAAAAAAAAATTGTATTGATTGATTGATTGATTAATTGATTGATTGGTTGATTGATTGATTGGTTGATTGATTGATTGGTTCATTGATTGATTGATTGAATGATCGATTGATTGATCGGTCAACCAACCAACGAGACGCTCGACCAATCGAGCAATCAATCTGTTGATTGAACTTCTGTTGCAACTGTTTGTTATTTTCCCCCCCTGAAAGTACCTGAGGTTCCTGACCCTCCCCCCCCTTTTAATCTTTCTTCCCGCATGTGTGTGTGTGTTTGTGTGTGTGTGTGAGAGAGAGAGAGAGAGAGAGAGAGAGAGAGAGAGAGAGAGAGAGAGAGAGAGAGAGAGAGAGAGAGA